CCCCCCCCCCCCCCCCCCTCCCCCTATCATGGGTTCTGTTCATCAGGAGGAGAGAACACATGACTGATTATTAAGGTTGACGTGGTTTTGATCACATGTACATTACCGTAGCCGATCCTCTTCCCATGATGCTTTGCTCCTGGAACATTCCACCTCTGGGATCTGATCCAACATCGTCCTCGGTAAAATAAATGATTCATTTAGTAAACTGTTGATTCACACATCGGAGCCTTAATGACCGTGAACGAGGAACAGTTTCAGTTGTGAGATCAGAAAACCATCTGTTTTTCATATTTGTGTAATTAAATAAATATAATGTTAAAACAAAAGAAAGTTTTGTTTCTTTGAGTCTGTTTATTATCGATGAAGCTATCTGGATTTTCAGTGCGCTCTTATTTTGAAATACAGGCGTTGAATCCACGTGAGGCAGTTACACAAAGTAAAACCTCCCAGCATGCTCTGGGGCAACAGATGATGATGATGATGATGATGATGGACACAGAAGGTTGACTGGGTTCAGCATGTCTGCTCATCGTCATCATCACTACTGCCGTCTTAACGGCCGACACAAAGTAAACTGGAAGACTTTCACATTAAACAACTAAACGTTTATGAGATTATTGAAACTGAAAATCATTTTATCTTTAGCTAAAATATATTTAAAAATATCTATATTTATATAAATATATACATATGTGTATATATATATTTACACATATATATGTATATATATATATATATATACATATATATTTAAATATATGTATATATATGTATATATATACATATATTTAAATATATGTATATATACATTTATAAATAGAGGAAATAGAACATTTGTTGGGGACTATTTTCAGCGGCGGATGAATCCACTCTTGGTGCTCTAGTGAGAGATTGGATGTAAATAAAGTTCAGTGTGATGATGAATAATCAAACAATAACTAATAAATACCTCCTGCAGGTATTGAACCCTCGTGCCTCACTACGGGCATTTAATGATGATTGTGTTTGTTAATGCAGACGTCATAACGTTGAGTGATAAGTCTAATAACCTGTGGAGCCCCTTAAAGAGCAACATGTCCCCATGAGGACCATTAACACGTTTGATCCCCATCACAGTATGAAGTCATGCCTTCTTCCATCTACAGCTCCGGCTTCTGAACTCTACGTTTGACTATTTTGCACCATGTTCAGCGGTTTCCTCACGTTGCCCTTTGAGGAAGATGTCACTCAGAGCATCGCTGCTGGCCTATGGAGCTCTGCAGACCACTTCAACACACCTACAACGATGAGCCTGCTGTCTGCGCTCCTCTGATACACAAAGCGTGTTCACCTGTCTTCATATTTAACGAGTGTCTCCATCATCTCTGGTTGCTGTAAATATAATCAATACTTTGGTGACTGTGTTACAGAGAGTAACGTTAGAGGGCTGTGAAGCAGCTGAACACATTCACCGCTGGATTTAGGATTCATTGGAGGAAGTTGTGCTCACTGGCAGGAGAACGTTTTATAACCGACATCCTCTGAATGTTTGAGCGCCAACTCTTCTTCTGCAGAGGAACTTCCTGTTCTGACTTCAGCGTCTGTAGTGACCGTTGCTTCCCAATAAAAAAGTCACTACGGTTGCTGTAATGCTTGTTCTGACTCGTGCCATAAATAACAAAGTCCAGTTTCGAATATAGGCATTTTATTCCTCACATAGTCAGAGCTCACCACTTTCTCTTCAGTTATCCATTTTCTCCTCATACCAATAAATCATAACATTTGCATTCGTTAAATCTTCACGGTCAAAAACTGTTTGCTTCCACCTGTTAGCAACAACCTGTGCCCAATGACCCCACTGATTATATTACCTGTGGCCTGACTCACACCGGCACTACGCCCCCATGTGGTGGGAGGTTGTACAAAACAAAAACAACAAAATGGCTCTTACAGCGTCTGACACACAAACTTCTTCTTCTGCTGATTCATTTCATCTCAGACTGATCGGTGAGTTCTTCTCTGTCTTCAGTTTCTCTACTTTTGAGTCATTAGAACTCATTAGAATGCCTCAGAGTGGTGATTCAGCAGTTTGTCTGGAGGCTGAAATCATTTAGTTTTTGTGATGAGGCGTCAGATTTAGGAGGGAAATCTAAATAAATCTGACGTCAACTCTTCTAATGTTTTCTGATGTTTTCAGCTTGAAAAACAGTTTAAGTTTAACCAGAACACAATATCTAATATTTAAAAACTCTTCTTTTGGCAATAACGATGAAAACATGATGATCAGTAAATAAATAAACAATAAATAAATAATAAATAGGGTTTATTTACTCATCATTCCCTGAGATTATAAGTGCTTTTCAAGGGGATAAAAATACACATAAAAAAGTATTGGAATCCATAAAAAATCTTGTCTTTACATACATACATAATATGTCTTTCACACACACACACATACACACTAACGTTTCCTGCCTTTCATGAATTCTTCTTTGGTGAAATCAATGTGATGGTTTTTGGAGGAAGTGTTTGAGTCTGTTGACAGAACCAACATGTAAATATAATATTGGAGAATGAGAAGAGAAATGTTAAAATGTAGAAGTTGCAAATATGTTCCTGAAACTATTATTGAGGAAATGAGTTCATTAAGTTTCGGTTCCTGAATAATTCCTCTTTCCACAGCTGAACACAAATGAATGACAGGTTTTAATTAATAATAAATGTATAAAAACAAGATAAAAACTATCTGCCGTCTGATGTCTCAGGAACAAACAAATGATTCTGCTCTTCTTCTTCTTCTATCTCATAAATGATTGTTTGGTTGGTTGTTTTGTTGCCATGACAGTCGGTTCACTTTGGTTCAGACTGAAATATGAAATTTATAAATATGCTTTTATTTTGTAGAAAGTCTCTTTACCAATAGATGTTATTTAGTTTAGTAGATATTCTAACTAAACTCCGTTCAAAGAGACAAAGATCCTCTGAGATCAGCTGTCATTGGTCAAAGAAACAGGAAGCTTAGATTTAAACAGGAACAGCTTCCTGTTTCAGTGACAAGAGTTTCACAATAAAAGCAGCCTAGAATAAGCTGGAATTATCAAAGCTCTTCTTCAGACTTCACTAAATATTACTAAAGGAGAGAAGAAGAACAGCAGCTGATTTGTAACTTTTGAACAGTAGTATATTCTTTAAATCTGGGTTCAGATATTCGTGATCCCCAGAGGATGATCCTCATGACCTTTCCTGCAGCGCCCCCAGCAGGTCAAGCAGGAAAAATATCTCAACAACTACGAGACAGATCGGCACACAATCTGGTTCAGATATTCATGGTCCCCAGAGGATGAATCCCAATGACTGTGGTGATCTCCTGAGCTTTTTCTTGTAGTGCACAATATTTTCAGAACCAACTTAATCAAAAGGAGCCAATCTGGTTCTAGTTCTTGTTCTCACTTATCCAGTGAAAAATCTCAACAACTACACGATGGACCGCCACACAATTTAGTTCATTCAAGGTTCCCAGAGGATGAATCCTTATTACTGAGGATCCCCTCACTTTTCCTCTAGCGCCACCACGAGGTTGACATGTGTGGTTTTGAGTGAAACATCTCAACATCTGTTGGACGGATTGTCATGAAATTTGGTACAAATATTTATTTTTCCCCTCTGGATGAATCGTAGAAATGTTGGTGATCCTTTTAGCGTCCAACACTTTGGTTTATGAACAAATAAAATAATGATATTTCCCATCAGCCTCAGCTGGACTTTGTTTAATGTTAGCATGCTAACAGGCTAAACTACGAAGGTGATCATGGTAAATGTTACACCTGCTAAATATCAGCATGTTAGCGTTACTGTGAGTGTGTTAGCATTTAGCTCAAAGCAGAGACGGTAAAATAATCATTCAATGATTTTATGTGTCACAGAGAAAATGAAGATCGCAGCTTTCAACGTCCAGAAACTGGAAGTAATAAAAGTCAACAATGAGGACGTTTGTAAAAATCTTATCAAGGTAACTCACAGTGCTGCACCAGTGTAGTGATTAATTCATTAATTATTCATTTAAATGATTCATGTTATTCCATTTGTGATGCTCAGACGGTGTGAAAAAATGAGCTTTTTATGATGTAACTCAGACACAAAACCTCTGATTGTTTTTTTACACTTCATGAGCTCAGGTCAGATTTAGTTACAGTTATTATTAATATGACTGTGTTTGGTTTGGAGTCAGTGTTGTTGTTATTTACACAGTCTGAGTCCACCTTTCTCTCGTGTTCCTGCTGTTTGTAGATCGTGTCTCGGTACAGCGTGGTGGTGATGCTGGAGGTGATGGATCAGAGCGGGAAGGTCATGAACAAGTTCCTCTCAAAGCTCAACAAATACGGGTGAGTTCTGTTCACCTGCACAGGTAAAGCAGACTCCTCTGGGCGTCTTTATAGTATGTAGTGGTATGAGGATAATCATGCCTTCTTCAGTGTTTCTGTGTTGCTTCAGTCTGTAACATGACAGCTTCTGTCTCTGCAGACGTTTAACCAGCTACAAGTGCAGCATTTTAAAAAGACTTTCTTTGCTGAATTTTTGCACAAAAGTGCCCAAACATGTTTGAACAAACACGTGACTCTGCTGTTCACAGAGCGCAACGGTTCGACTTGGTTTTGTTGTCGTCAGCCATGTTTTTTAGTTTGGAAAAAAAAATGCTTGATTTACCCAGGATTCATTGCAAATTCGTCCTACTTCAGACAAAGTCTAGTTTGATCTCAGTCATGGTCGTAGTCTACGTTTGTGAAACTGGCCTCAGAAAAGTCAAAAAAGGTTTATTTTTTCAGTAAAACTAGTTAAATTCATCCAAATGTACTTAAACTTTATTTTGAATATGTCATCTTATACGGTGATTATTTTCTTAGCGACGATGTATCCTGTCAGTCTTTATTAAAATAGTAAATAACGTTTTTTCTCTCTGATGTTTCAACTGTTTAGAAAAGTCTGTCACAGAAACGAGAGAATAATTAGAGTTAAAGAAAGAGATGTGACTCTACACGGACTGAATCTAGCGTTTTTAATAATCTTGATTTACATTATAAATGATGTTCTGTGTGAAATGACGGTTGTGTTTTGTGACAGGAGGAACAGAAACCATCAGTTCACCATGAAGTGCAGTGAATCTCTGGGACGAAGATCCTACAAGGAGAAGTTTGTCTTCTTCTACAGGTACGAAGACGATAAATCACTGTTTCACCAAATCCTCTACTTCTCTTTATCTAGTAAAACATTGAAAAGAAGAGAAAATATTCAGAAAAGCTGCTTCTGGATCTGCATCAAAACGAAGACATTTTAAATGTGATCATGTTGCTGCAGCGCCACCTGCAGGTGAAACACCATCACATCATGCACAGACAACGCCTACTTTAATATGGCTCCTAATTACAGTAGAAATCTGTAGATTAGTTTTGTTTGAGGACGATTTGTATTTGTGTCTTTATTGTACTGATTAGTATCTTTAATAGGAGTTATGAGATAAAACATCTTCATAAACGATGACACGGTGAAGCTGTTGGACTAAAACAACGTCCTCCAACTTTCCACAAAGTTTAAATGAAACACTTCAAGTTTGAGATATCGTGCCAACTAAACAATAACTCAATACATAAATATATACATAAAAATAATGAATATGAAAGAGTTGACAGAGGTAATGAGTACTTCTTCAAAAATAAGAATAAAGAATAAAGTTTGTTCATAAGGTTTCTGATTAAAAAACAAACGTGTGTCTCAGAAAGGACGAGGTGACGATGCTCGACTCCTACCAGTACGAAGAAGATGAGGAGGAAGATGAAGAAGAAGAAGATGAGGAGGAAGATGAAGAAGAAGAAGAAGAAGAAGATGAGGAGGAAGATGAAGAAGAAGAAGAAGAAGATGAGGAGGAAGATTAAGAAGATGAGGAGGAAGATGAAGAAGAAGAAGAAGAAGATGAAGATGAGGAGGAAGATGAAGAAGAAGACCTTCAACATCTTTCATCATTCAACCATTTTAAAGCAGCATTATTGGAGCTATGAGCTTTTAAAATCCTGTTATTGCATGAATAGCATAAAGCAGGCGTTCTATAACGAAATGTTTGATCAATTTAGTTTGATAACAGTTTTAATTAAATTGGAAAAGATTAAACAATGTGTTGTTTTTTTGTCAGACGTTTGAGCTTCATTGTACAGAATGATTAATCCATTCAGAGTCATCACTCAACCTGAACCACATGTCTTTGGACTGAGCGAGGAAGCCGGAGAACCCGGAGAACCCGGATGAAACCCACGTGAAAACGTGGAGAACATGTGATCTCCACACAGAAAGGTCGCCAAACCCCGGGAATCGAACCCCAGCCCTTCTGGCTGTGAGGTGACAGTGCTCACAACTAGAGGGATTTATGAGCACACAAAATCCTGCAAGTCATCCTAAAGATATCACTTACAGATGTGCTCAGAATGTAGCCGACTATATTTTATATATTTTGACAAAAAATGAAACCAGTCTCAAGTCAAAGTCCAGCTATGTCCATGTTAGTCCAGCAGAGGGCAGTGGTGGCGCTGCAGACAACAAAAACTACCACAGCGCCAAACATCGAGGGATTAGCAAACTAATTTACTCCTTAAATATTAACAAACACAATGTAACATGTAAATCAGTGAGATTTAGAGCTTTGTTAGGTGTGTTTCTAAACTTTGGATAGAGCAAGGCTAGCTGTTCCCCCCTGCTTCCAGTCTTTATGCTAAGCTAAGCTAACAACATCCAGACTGTGTACTCAATGAACACTCGTGACATTGACGTTGATCTTCTCGTAGCATGAAGTAAGAAAATGTTTTCAAAAACTATTTCGTCTTGAAGGAATTCATTTCAATATTTAACTCATGAAATAATCTCTGTTCTGGTGTTTGTGCTCTAACAGGAAACGCTCACTGGCTCAGATAACAGACAGAGACTGTTACACCGTGTGCGTGCGTGGGTGTGTGTGTGTGTGTGTGTGTGTGCGTGCGCTGGCTTCGTGGTCAACAGCAACACTTCCTGTCTCAGAGGTTTGTTTTGCTGCTACACTGTTGAGTTTCATTCCATCAGATGGTTCAGGAGCAGCTCTCATTGTGTGTATTTCATCCAGAGCAGTGAGTTTTATTCTGTTTGTTTTAATCCTCTGCAGCTCAGGAACTGATGCTGTTGAAGAAACTGCTAAATAAAACAAAAAAAACTCTTTTACACCGGAGCAGAATGGTGTGAACCAAACATCCAAAACATAAGTATTCATTATTTTAAATGAAAGGATTATAACATAATGATGCTTTTAGAAATCCGAGCATTAATAAATGTGTAATATCTGAAGCAGGTTGTGGGAGTTTAAAAATGTGGATATGTTTTGTTTGCATTTTATGAAAATGTATTTCCATTAACTACGGCGCTAAACTCCTTTTCCGCCAGTTTACAGATAAATACTTTTTTTACTCCACTACATTTATTTGACAGCTTTAGTTATTTGTTACTTTACAGGTTAAAACATTCTGTACAAAGCGTGTCGTCATCTTATGAAATTTGATGCATTATTACAGATAAAAACCAGCACACGTTAATGCATCAATGATTGTTAAATAACCCTGTAATATCATAAATATATTAATATATAAACATCTGAGCTGTGAAATTCTACATAATACTGGTGTAACTTTACATATATATGTATGTTGCTTATACTTCTGTACTCAAGTAAAATAACTTTTATTAGGAGTATTTTTTAAGACATTTATACTAATAACTATGAAATACATAATTCATAGCAATACCAAAACTCCCCAAAAATGCTTTTAGACATGAATGATGTTAAATAAATTGTGTTCTTGCAGAAATTTAATATTTAAGTCAATTCAAGTTACAGTAACAAATACTGTAACATGATTTAACACTTCATATGAACTCTTATCTTCATAAATAAAGTCACATTCATGCTGCATGTTGAAGATGACAAAGTCAAATAATAAACGCTGTGTAGTAAATGTGTATGAAGACATCGGACAAAACCAACCGCAGTGGTTTTTCTTCTCGGTTCATTTCTCAGTTTCACATGCTTCATACATCCATCTGTTCCTCATTTTCTTTCTCTCCTTATTTAGTTTTGCTTTCAGTTTGTCCTTGTTATTCATCTTCTCAACAGTTTTAATCTTCTGAAGTGAAGATGAAGATAGCAGCTTTCAACGCCAAAAACCTGGGAATGAAAAAGGTCACGGACAAGAAGGTGGTCCACTACCTCACCAAGGTAAAGCTGCTTCATCATCATTTTTATCCATAATGTACTTTTCAAGTGTGTTCAGTGTGTTCAGTGTGTTGGATTGAATCAACGTTGTGTGGACAGATCGTGTCTCGGTACAGCGTGGTGCTGATCCTGGAGGTGATGGATAAAAGCGGTACGGCCATGGAGGAGTTATTTAAAGAGCTCAACAACAACAGGTGAGTTCTCTGCAGAGAAGCAATCTTTTTCTTCCATGGAAAACATTTCCATTTCCCACAATTTATTTCAAGCAGAAAGTTGATTCAGACTGAGCACACCTGTTTATTTGATGCCTGTGGAGCTTCTTCTGTCCCTCAGACAGACAGAAGACAGTCATGTCCAAATGTCGGTAAATTATCAGATATGTTTTTTACGCTGTGGATATAAGTGTGCCGGCTGTGAACTCCCTTACTCCAGCAGACCGCTGTTGGTTCCTCATTTGAAACGAGAAGTCAATGAGGATTTATTTGTTACATAACTTCTGTAGTTATTTTAACTCAAAACACAATATTTTCCTAAACCTGTTGTCTAAACCTAACTAAGTAGTTTTGTTGTATAAACCTAAGTAGTGTTGTCGTCTAAACCTAACTAAGATGTTTTGTTGTCTGAACCTAACTAAGTAGTGTTGTTGTCTGAACCTAACTAAGTAGTGTTGTTGTCTTAACCTAACTAAGTAGTGTTGTTGTCTTAACCTAACTAAGTAGTGTTGTTGTCTAAACCTAACTCAGTAGTGTTGTTGTCTATACCTAACTAATTAGTGTTGTTGTCTTAACCTAACTAAGTAGTGTTGTCTAAACCTAACTAAGTAGTGTTGTTGTCTTAACCTAACTAAGTAGTGTTGTTGTCTAAACCTAACTAAGTAGTGTTGTCTTAACCTATCTAAGTAGTGTTGTCTAAACCTAACTAATTAGTTTTGTTGTATAAACCCAAGTAGTGTTGTCATCTAAACCTAACTAAGTAGTTTTGTTGTGTAAACCTAACTAAGTATTTCACAATATTTTCCTAAACTTAACTGAGTTTCCTGTGAAGACAGAATTTATTTATAATTATTTTATTTTATTTTGAAAAGACTATTTCAAAATAAGACTATTCACTGGACTTTTGTAGGAAAATGCAACAAAAAAGAGTAAGATATCATACAAACCATTGTCTGAGGACACGTTGAGAGTGTGTTTCTGTTCTCCTTTACAGTCGGGGCCTTTTTGCATGTCTGTGCTCAGGGGCCCGTTGTTGTTGGATGTTAGGAAACACATGCTGGTGATTTAGCTCCACAAACTGTTTGTGTTTCAGCTCCAACAGAAACAGTCCTTACTCCATGATCGCCAGCCGCCAGCTAGGACGAGACACCTACAAGGAGCGCTTTGTCTGCTTCTACAGGTGAGAACGCCCAGGTGTGATGAAACCTTTGTGACGTTAGTGTGTGAGGGTTTAACATGCAGGTACATGTAGCATTCAGAATCATGTGTTCATGTAGCATTCAGAATCATGTGTTCATGTAGCATTC